ATTGTTCACTGTTTGGCTGTGAAACAGGCTTCCTCTTCTGGTGCCTGATCTGTTACAGATTTAGAATGAACCTAAAGGGCTGTTTGTTCTGGGTCCTTTGAACTGCATTTGCTGCTCCTCTCTTCTAGAACTATTCTACCAGAAATCCTGTAGCTTCATGCCATTTTATTAGGTGGTTTTTGAAGCCTGGGGTAATGGGATAGTGGCTCACTAACCTGCTCTCACCTCCAAAAAAGGGCTTGGGATTTAAAAACACCGCCAAAGAATAATACCGATGTGTCAGTCTAGAATTTTTAAGTAAGTCAAATTATTATAGATAGCTAAGTTACATATAATACACAGTCAGAAATATTTTTTTAAATTTTTATTTAAGGAGAAAAGAAAAGAAAGAAAAAAAAACAGTGAAGGGGTACAAGTTATACAGATTTACAGAAGAAAAAAATGCACAGTAGGAAATCACTAGTTAATACACAGTCAGAAAAGTACTAGGCTTTCAAAAAGTCAGTGAGAAATAAAGACATCAGAATTGTGGTTGGAGGCACATCTAAAGGTCAGACCCAAGGAAAAGACACAATGGCCAGGCTGGCATGCATCCCTAAGGGATAAACAGCAACTCAGAATTATACTGTATTTAGCACCACCTGGTCCAGGAAGACATCAGCTACCCAGGTGGGTGATCACAGCATCCATTCTCATTCCTTCCCCAAAATGCCTTTGTTCTTTCCATGCGCCCTTCCTATGTGACCTGCTTCCCTACTGGATCAGTATTAGCTAGGTAGTTATCCTATACATGTAATCTTACAGGTTAACTATAGCTTGACCCATGTTGTACCAACACTGTGACTTTGCTGTATCCAATTACTCAACAAAGGGCCTCAGTGGCAACCCACTGTCTTTTAGGAAACTTCCTGTCTCTCAGGGCTATTCCTCAATAAATCTTTCCTACTTTTTTGGGGGTAATTTTTAATTGAAAGAGAATAAAACCAAGTGAAATAAAACAACAAAGCCAATCAAAACAAACCAGTATAAATAATACAAAACTTCAAAACAAGATAATAGGAAATCAACAATGGTTACTATAATGTCTCTTATTTTCAAAATAGCTACCCATAACTTCAGACATAAAAAAAAAATCAAACAAAACAGAACAAAATAGAACCAATAAAAACAAAGCAATGAATGCAATAAAGGACTTCAAAACAAGATAATAGTAAATACAAAATGGCTACTATAATATATCTTGTTATTTTTGAAACAGCTGCCTATGCCATTGGATATAATAAGATCAAACATGACAAAACACAATAAAACCCAACCCAACAAAACAGTGAAAATGATACAGGACTTCAAAACAAAACAACAGGGAATTAACAATGGCCACAACCCTTAGAAGGAGATCCCTCATCGATGCTACATTGTGCATAGTTACTCTCCAAATAGATGATCAGACTACTGGCTTTACCTGCAAAGTCAGTGAAATATCAGACTACTGGCTTTACCTGCAAAGTCAGTGAAATACTAAACACTACAAGCATTATGTTGTATTTTATCTCAACAGCTTTCATCACAGCCTGTGTTTCTCTGGATTAGCTAGTCATTTATAGGAAGGATAGGGGAAGAACCTTGGCTGCTCTTATCTCCCAGCCCGTGAGTTGGAAGGGGCTGGCTTCTGGTTCTCCCCTCAGTGGCCCATGTATGGTGCTGACTCACAGGGAAGGCTTGTTGGCTTCTTGTTCTTCTCCCCTGCAGTCCAAGAAAGGCGCTGACTCACAGGAAAAGGCTGGCATCTAGTTCTCCCCCAGCAGCCCCATGCATGTCATCTATCTTCCTCTTAACCTTCCGTTTTCCTTGGAATTCATTCTTTGATTTCAGGAACATCTAACACATCTGACATCTAGCAGGTTGGGAGTTTCATTTCTCCTATATCAAAATCACCTCTTTCCTAATCTTAGACTTGGATCATGTCTATTCAAATTACAAACTCTTCCATACACCAACATTATGTCTTATAATCATCTCCATCTTTCACAGTAACTAACTCAGGTCTTGGCTCAGAGCAGTTACTTAGTACAAAATGAAAACAAATTTGTACGTAATTTACTATTTTAAATTATGTTTAAATTCATGTTAGTCAGCTTTTGGTCACTGTGACTGAACACCTGATAAAAAGTCATCAAGGAAGAAAGATTTATTTTGACTCACGGTTTTAGAAAGATCTGTGGTCAGCTGTCTTGCTTCATTGCTTTTAGGCCTGTGGTAAGGCAGAAACATCATGGCAGAAGGGTATAGTAGATGAGAAAGAGGCAGGGGCAGGGGCAGGGGCAGAGGCAGAAGCAGAGACATACAGAGAGGAGGCCCAGGACAGGATTACAGTGCCTGAGGTCATGTTCCCACAATGCACTCCCTTCAACTAGCACCCTCCTAAATTCTCATCACTTCTCAATAATCCCATTAAAGTATAGATCAATGGTTAATCTATTAATAAAGTTTGAGCCCTCTCATTAAAATCATTTCCCAAAAGCCTAGCAGCTCTGAACACTGCTGCACAGGGGACCTTGCCCCCCAAATATGATCCTTAGCAGATCTATCCAGACCATAACTACAAATAATTACTTATTTGTAAACAATAAAAAGTATGACAGTTAAGCTTATCACTTGGATGCCTCCTAACAGATTAGGACAACATGCTTCCAGTTGTGTCTTGGTGGGTCACAAAGGTATGACCCCTGAGTTCTATATATGGTCCCTGGCCCCTTTTTTTCTGGCATTGTTACCCTGCGCAGTTCTCTGGCTGCTATGAACTAAGCAGCTTTGCTCCACACTACATCTTTCTGCCAAGATATTCCTGCACTGGAGCCAGCCTGCTTTGGATTGAATCCTCTGAAACTGAACCAAACTAAATCTCTCCTCCTTTAAATTATGGCTGTTGGGTATTTTGTTCAGCAATAGGGAACCTGTCTAATACAAAAGTTTTGCGAAATAATAACAAGCCAAGAATAAACAGCTTTAAAGGATAGCTTTAACAACTAGGTTTCATGATCCTAGAAGAATGACATTAAAAAGCAATTCTGTAGTGATAATTTTAGGCCATTTAAAAAAATTCAATTGAAAGTATTTTCTTGAAGAGTTACATAGACATTTTGGTGGAATGGAGGCAGAGGATAACCTGAGTTCTAAAATTTACCTATGCTTTATGATACTTTTAAATCTGAAGAGAGCTTTATGAGCCTTAAATTTGCCATGACATTGAGAAAAGGGGTTGCACAAATTACTACTCTTTGATAACAAAGAGGGAAGGGCACACCTGGTTAATGGGTAGGCAATTAACAAAGGTGATCCAGGAGACCAAAGTTGTCCATCAGGAGCCCTTTGAATTCCATTTACTTCTCAGTGGAATCCAGGATGTACCAGAAAGTATTAGCTGAAGAAGAAATATTAACTCAGTGAGAAGGGACATAGTGGTATACTTCTACAAGGAACTGGGTGCAGTCACTACTGACTTCTGTCATATGTGTTCTAGTTGCTTATGATTTTGTTATCAATCAGAAGCCTTTATGTACCCAGCACACTGCTAAGTTCCATAGGGGATAATAAAGTCAGACGATTTGCTTTTTGGTTCTAGGGTACTCATATCTAATTTTGGGAAAGGGAAAATTAATACAAGTTAAATGACTGGAAAACAATCAAATAATAAGCTGTAAATTCAAGACAAGTTTAGAGGAGAAAAAGATTGGGATGAAGTAATGTTTTAGAAGCCTCAAGCAAACTGAGAACTGAGTTGTGGGACTGGTTTAAATCTAAATGTCCCTTAAAAGTCATGAATTCAGAGGAGTGGCTTCATGAAGGTGATTCAATCACGAGGGCGTTGTACTCATCAGTGGATTGATCTATGAGAAGTTCATAATGAAATGTTCTATTAGGAGGTGGGGCCTGATGGAAGAGGTCTGCCCCTGGAGTGTATCTCTCACCCTAGCTCCTCCCTTTGTTCTCTGCTTCTTGACTGCTATGAGGTGAGAAGTTCCTGTTCTTTGCTCTTCTGCCATGATGTTTTTGCTCTGGAGGCAGATGACCATGGACTAAATCCCCCCAAACAGTGAGTCAAATGAAATATCTCCTCCTTTAAGTTATAGGTATCAGGTTTTGTGTCACAGAAACAAAAAAGTTAACACAGGACTAAGGTTGTTTATGAACAAGAACACACGGATGAGCCTCTTTTTTTTAATCAGTACTGGGGATCGAATTCATGACCACATGCTTGCAAGGCAGGCACTTATGCCGCTGAGATAAATCCCCAGCCCCTTTAAGATTAGCCTCTTTTTGAGGGGTAGGTTCAGAAGGATGTCTTTGACTGGTGGCCCAGGAAGACAGAGCTGGTATCCACTGGTAAATCCTCATGTACTACTCTTGAAAGAGCTGCAGTCTCTCATGAAAACAACACATGGCCAAATAAGAACAAAGAAGCAAATTGCTCTTGGTTGTTTTCATGCCTAAAAGGGCTCACTGTAGCATGAAAATCAACGTGAAAACAGTTAGACATACCATATCATCCAAGTTGGATACTGGACAGACATTTCTTGGCCTAAATTTTAAAATATTTATTCACTTCTTGTTAGTCTCTTAATTTCTAGATGAAAATATTTAACCTAATAAGTTGACACAGGGGCTGGGAGGGAGACACAGGAACTTACCATGGAGGCTCCTTAGTGACACATAGTTAAGTTTACATAAGACTATAAGGTAGATATTATTGTTATTGCTTTACAGATGAAGAAAAGAAAGTTATGGAGAATAAATATCTCAGCTAAACTAGTCCAAATCTTATAGGGCAAACTTAAACCCTGGTATTTATATGGCACAAGGTTACTTCCTCTGTTCTAATGTAGAAAGCATATATTTGATTATTCCTACAAAGGAAACTGACAAATGTCTCAGTTGTTGTGCGGTAAAGAGGAAAGCCTGGGGCTGGCAGTAATGAGAACTAGTCTATGCTTTGTTCTTAGTTCTCAAACAGGTTACCCACTCCTCTTCTCCTGATTCTATCATCTAAACTTAAGGAAGACAAGAAGGAAGGAAGCAGGTCCACTGGACCCAAGAAGAATCTGAAGTGTGAACTGAAGCCCATAGAGAGAGTAAAAACAAAAACTTCAACAAAGAAGGCGGCAGTAGCTGGTGGCACCTTCGCCTGGAGGGGAACTAACTGTAAGGAGCTGTTGGAACCTGGGGACACTCAGTCATGGTGATGGTGTCAGTTGGCAACCCCAGAGGCCTCTCCTGAGACACGTGGCAGTAGAGGGGAGCCCTGGATTGGAGGACTGCACTGGCTGGCAGTGAGAGTAGAGGACTCGGTCCTCCTCCCATGGGTGACAGTGATTAGCCAGGAGCCGTTTTGAAGCCAGATCCAATAAGCCTCAAACCTAGAACTCCTGCTGACTTCCTCCAGCAGCTCCGAGCTGTGTGGAGATCCCTGGAAACTGCTTGGACTGCAGCGAGCCCAATGAGTCTGGTCTAGGGGCAAGCCTGCTAAGGTCATCTACTATTCCGCCATAAAGCAATGGCTGGCTTGCTGGAATACAGTGGCATGATTCAGGACTCTGTCTCCACAGGCTGTTTACTAGTGAACTCAGAGAAAATCCTGAAGTGGACTCTGTGGTTTATTTTTTTTTGTTTTCTTTTCTTGTTTGTTCATTTTGTTTTATTATTCAGTTTGTTTTTTATTACTCTTTCTCTTTCATTATTTTTTTTTTATGAGCATGAGAGTGATTCCTATCCTCTTTGTGGATGTGGTTCTATTTTGTTCTATCTTTTATCTCTTCTATCTCTCTTTTCTTTCAATCTTCTGCACCATTTTCCCCAAGTTGGCAGAACCTATCTTGGTGCTCCAACTTACTTAGAACCTCTTTCTTTTTCTGCTATTCTATTTTCTCCTTAATCCATTTTAAATTAACCCTAAGAGCAAAACTGACACATTATGGACTTACATATTGCATAAAATTATCTGGTTTATTTTACATTTTGTTATATGATCACAAATCTATTTCATATGGTTAAAAGTTACAAATTAAGGATTAGCTCAGTTTGTTGTTCTACATGCTGTGTTTGACTCTATTAGTACCACTATAGCCAAAATTGACATAATTGTTCTAAACAGCTGTTGTCCCTGAAAATCCATGACTGAGATTAACTAAGGGCCACAGAAAATACAGTGGCACAGTACCAAAGAATCAGGGACTTGGCCAAACCAGCAATAACAACTCATCTCCAACAACAGACTTCTAACAGACTCAAAACCCAAAACCAGCTACATCTGGAAGATATTTCAGAGAAGGAATCATCACCTACGTGTCCTAAATGGCACAATAAAGCAACCCACCATAGGCAACTTACAAACATCATCCCAGGAGTTAAACTAAAAAGAAAAGAGATGAGAAGACACTTAAACAAGATGCAACCCCAGACATCCAGTTCACCAAAGGCAAACCCAGAGAGCAATGAGGTGGGACAATCCAAAAGCCCCCCATCAGGTCTCTCCAAAGTGGTAACAACAAAGCAATTGGCTCTGGAAAAAATGAAATCAGAAACAATCTCTCAGATAACTCCAGAGATTACAAAATACGCACTCTTATGGTTTATATATCAGATCTTATGCAAGTATGGACATGGCTGAATATAGTATTTGTGATTGGTTCATTGTCTAGTGCTCAGACTGGTGGTGTGAGTGCTAGACCCACCTAGGGGTGGAGCCAGGATACAATGTAACTGGTGGAAGAAGGCATGTTTTTCTCTTTTGCTCTTTGCAGCGCCCATACATGGTGGCCCCACCACGCCACCCTGCTGCTTGGAGCTGAGTATGGACTGAAACCTCCAACTATAAGAAATAAACCTTTCCTTCCTTCATATTGGGGGTCGGGTATTTTGTCACAATAATGAGAGAAAAGTAACCAAAACACATACCATGCTTAGCAATGTTAGAGCAGATACAGACAAAAAAAACAGATGAGCTTAAGCAAATTATGGAAGCACAGCATAGGAAACAAATGGAATCCATAAGCAGATTCAAGCAGATATCCAGGAGAATAAAAACTTCATTGAAAGTATTCAAAGAAGATTAGGCCAATGTGAGGCCAGGATCTCAGATATTGAAAACAGGCTTGCAGTTAGTAACCAGGAATAGAAAGATTTTTCAAAACTAGCAAGGTATCCTGAGAAATCAATCCAGCAGTTGCTAGATGAGACAAAGAATAACTTAAGATTAATTGTAGTCAATGAACAGCAGGCAATACCAAAAATGACATTAAAAACATATTCACAGACATCAAGACAGAGAACTTGCCTGGTAGAGAAAAAGAATTTGACAAATAAGGGAGGCATACCAAATTCCAATTAGCAATAATAAAAAAAAATCTACAACCAGGCATATCATTGTCAAGATTCCAGAAATTCAACACATGAACAGAATCTTAAAAGTTGTTATGGAAAAAAAACAAATCATCTATAAAGAAAAGCCCATCAGAATCACAGCTGACTTTTCAGCACAAACTCTCCAAGTCAAAGAGAGCTTGGAGTGAAGTACTCCATGTTCCAAAGGAAAACAGCTTGCAACCCAGATTGATATATCCCACAAAAATATCTTTCAAAGTTGATGGAGAAATAAGATACTTCCATGACAAAGAACAGATGAGGAAATTTATGACCACCAAACCAGCACTCCAGAATGTTCTGAAAGACATTCTAGAAAGAGTAATAAAGACTACAGCTCCGTGAACCCCAACAGAAGGAATCTACCATGAAAGGCAAAAAAATTAGAGGGAAGAAAAAAAGGTTGGGGGGGGGCAACAACAGGAAAATAACATGACAAGGATAAATCAATACATATTGGTTTTAACTATCATTTTTTTTTTTTTGCACCAGGGATCAAACTCACAACTGTGTGCTTACAAGGCAGGCACTTATACCACGGAGCTAAATCCCCAGCCCCTTAACCATCAATGTTAGTGGTCTCAATTTACCACTCAGAAGACACAGAATGGCAGAATGGATCAAGAGGCAAGATTCAACATTATGCTGCATACAAGAAATACATTTAATTCAGAAAGAAATTCATAGACCGAAAGTCAAAGGATGGAAAATAATACTCCATGCATCAGGAATCCAGAAAAAAGCATGGGCAGCAATTGTATTTGTAGACAAAGTGAATTTCAAGCCAAGACTGATTAATAGAGATAAATAAGGTCATTACATCTTTGTAAAGGGAACAATCCAAGAGGAAAGGAGAACAGTTATAAATGTATATGCAACAAATACCAGTGCACAACTAGCTATATAAAATAATTATTAATGGACATGAAAAATCAAGTAAACTCTAATACAATTGTATCGGGAGACTTCAATATTCCACTGTCACAAAAAGACAGATCAATTAGACAAAAATGAATAAAAAATTAGAACTAAATCAATCTTTTGAGCAAATGGACTTAGTAGATTACTGTCTAAAGAGTGTTCTGCCCCACAACATCAGAATACACATTCTTAGCTGCACATGGGACATTCTCCAAAACAGACCATATGCTGGCTCACAGAACATGCTTAAGTAAATGTGAAGGAATTGAAATTACCCCATGCATATTATCAGACCACAGTGCAAAGAAATTGGAAATCCATGCCAAAGGAAATATAAAAACTTCACAAACACATGGAAATTAAATAGCACCCCACTGATAGGTCACAGATGAAATTAAGAAATTAGAGCTTTTGGAATTGAATAATAATGACAATATAACATACTGGAACTTGTGGGACACAATGAAAGCAGTCTTAAGAGGGAAATTTATAGCAATAAATACCCATATTAGAAAAACAGACCAAGGGGGCTGGGGATTTAGCTCAGCGGCACAAGCGCCTGCCTTGCAAGCAGGCAGTTGTGAGTTCAATCCCTGGGTCCGATAAAAACGAAAAAGACAAAAAAAAAAAAAAAAAAAGAAAAACAGACCAAGCACAGATAAACAACTTAATGTTGAATCTTAAACTTCTAGAAAAAGAACAGCAAGTTAAACCAAAAGCTCATACAAGAGAGGATATTATAAAGATCAGAGTAGAAATTAACACACTGGAGACAAAAAAAAAAATACAAAGAATCAATGAATTGAAGAGTTGGTTCTTTGAAAAATTAAACAAAATTGACAAACACTTATCCAATCTTATCCAAAAAAGGAAAGAAAAGACTCAAACCCACATAATTAGGAATGAAAAATGCAAGATCACAACAGAGCCTGCAGAAATCCAGAAAATCATATATTCATACTTGGAAAACTTGTATTCTAACAAGATGGAAAATACTAAAGAAATGGACAGATTCCTAGGTACATATGAATTTCCAAAATGAATCAAGAGGATGTAAAAATCCTAAATAACCCAATATTAATAAATGAAATTGAAGATACAATTAAAAACCTATCAACAAAGAAAAGCTCAGGCCCTGATGGATTCACTGCTGAATTCTACAAGAAACACCACTATTTCTCAAACTCTTTAATGAAATTGAAAGGGAAGCAATACCCCCAAATTCATTCTTGGAAGCAAGCATTATTCTGATTCTAAAACCAGAGAAGGACCCAACTAAAAAAGAGAATTACAGGCCAACTAATGCAAAAATCCTCAATAAGATACTGGCAAACAAGACTGCAGAAAATCATAAAAAAGATTGTACATCATGATCTAGTATTCAACCCAGGGATGCTGGGATGACTCAAGATACATAAATCCATAAATGTAATACACCATATTAACAAAGCTAAGGACAAGAATCATATGATCATCACAATAGATGCAGAAAAAGCTCTTGACAAAGTCCAGTACCCATTTATGATAAAAACCCTAGAGAAAATTGGAATAGATGGCCTTTATCTCAATCTGATAAAGGCCATCTATGACAAACCAACAGCCAACGTCATATTAAATGAACAAAAATAGAAAGCTTTTACTTTAAAATCAGAAACAACACAAGAATGCCCATTGTCTCCACTCTAATTCAACATAGTCCTGGAAACTTCAGCTGGAGCAATTAGACAACAGAAAGAAATAAAAGGAATATAGAGATAGGAAAGGAAGAAGTTTTACCATTGTTATTTGCATTTGACGTGATAGTCTACTTAGAAGACCCAAAAACTCTACCAAAAGACTTCTAGATTTAATAAGCAAATTCAGTAATGTAGCTGGTTACAAAATCAATACTCAAAAATCAATAGCCTTCTTGTAAACTCATTGAGAGAGAAATCAGGGAAACAACACCTTTCATGATAGCATCCAAAAGAAAGAAAGAAAGAAAGACCTAGGAACCAATCTAACAAAGGCTGTAAAAGGCCTCTACATTGAAAACTACAGTTCTCTGAAAAAGGAGATTAAAGAGAATGTTAGAAAATGGAGAGATATACCATGCTGTTGGGTAGGAAGAACCAATAGTGAAAATGGCCATACTTCCAAAACTGTTATACAGATTCAATGAAATCCCAATCAAAATTCCAAAAGTATGTATCACAGAATTAGAAAAACAATCTTAAAATTCATCTGGAACCAGAAGCGATCTAGAATAGCAAAGGCAATTAGAGCAACAAAAACAAGATAAGGGGGGCCTCACAAACCCTGACTTGAAATTATACTATAAAGCTACTGTGATAAAAATAGTGTGGCACTGGCAAAAAAACAGACCCAAAGATCAATGGAATAGATTAGAAGATGCAGAAACAACTGCAGACACACAAAGCCACCTTATCTTTCACAAAGGTGCCAAACACATTCACTGGAAGAAAGATAACCTCTTTCTTTCAGTTATAAATGGTGCTGGAAAACTGGCTCTATACATGCCAAAGATTAAAGCTGGACCCATATCTTTCGCCATGTACTAAGCTAAAATCAGAATGGATCAAAGATCTTAATATTAAAACAGGAACATTAAATGTGCTGGAAGATAGAGCAGGTAAAACTATTAAAGATATTAGAGTAGGCAAAGACTTTATGAACAAAACCCACACTGCATAGGAACTATCACAAAGAATCAACAACCAGGATCTCATCCTACTGAAAAGCTTCTGTACAGCAAGAGAAACTACCAACAGAGTGAAGACACAACCTACAACATGGGAGAAAATGTTCACCAACTGTTCCTCAGACAAAGGATTACTATCGAAAAAATATAAAGAATTCAAAAAGATCAGTCTTCCCAGATTTAAACACCCAATCAAAAAATGAGCATCTGAGATGAGTACACACTTCTCAGATGAAGAAATACAAACAACAAATAAACACATGAAAAAATGTTAAATATCACTGGTCATTTGAGAGATGCAAATTAAGACAACACTGAGATTCCACCTCACCCCAGAAAGAATGGCTATTATCAAGAAATCAAGCAATAACAAATGCTGGAGGGGCTGTGGGGAAAAATGAACTTTTCTCCACTGTTAGTGGGAATGCAGACTGGTGCAATCACTGTGGAAATCAGTGTAGAGACTCCTCAAAAACTACCATTGGAGATTCCATTCAACCCTGCTATTCCTTCTGGGATCTTCCCAAAAGAATTTAAAAAATCATCTCACATTGTATTTTTATACAAAGGAATACTACCCAGCCATAAAGAATGATAAACTGGATACTTTTATAGGTAAATGGATGTATTTTGAAAACACAGTGAAATAAGACACACATGTAAACATTGTATTATTTCATCAAAACATCATATTGTTTCATTAAATCCTTAAAACAAAAAGTTGGACCACGTGATGAAATAAAGATTGGAGGAAGGGGAAAAATAACAAAACAACAAAACAAGGAGTTGGTATGCTAGGAGAGAATTAGGAGAAATGGTAAAAATTCAAATTAAGTTTATTTCCCATAAAAAAGGGAAAAAGAATTTATGTAACAGAGGCTGGTGAAGCTGGAAAGTAGAGGTAGAAAAATCAAACCTTAAGGCCTTTGAGAAGAGAACATAATAGAACAGGACATCGAGGAGGTGAACAAAAGTGCTTCAGCGTGAATCCAAAACACAAGGCAGAGGTTTGAATGAGAAGAGAAAGGATAACAACCAAAATGTAAAAAGTAATAGGGGAGAGGACGGCCACAGCACATGCACAGGACAGGGCCGAGGAAGGGTGACTGGCACACCAGTGCCTCTCAGGATGTTCATGTGTTATAGGTGCTCCTTAGAAAAACATGAAGAGGGCTGGAGCTCTAATTTTGTTTCTTTATCAAAGTTGTTTTAGATCATTCTGAGTCTTTTCTACTTTTACAGAAGTATAAGAATCAAAATGTTAATCTTTATGAAAAATGATGTTGGCAGTTTGAACAAAAAAAAAAAGAATAAAGAAAAATCCATGAAGAAAGGGGCTGGGGATTTACCTCCAGTGTAAATGCCTGCTTGGCAAGTGTGAAGTTGTGAGTTTGATCCCCAGTACTAAAAAAAAAAAAAAACAAGAATAAAACATGAAGAACCCTTAGCCCAACTCTGTGAGCTAGGGGACCATCATAGTCAAATACATGACTTAAAAATATTAGTATTAGGAATTACAGGAGTTTCAACAAACATGAATTATTTTGGCAGGGCTAGTTTGCAGTTCTGAATTGTAGACTCCACATCCCAGCAGAGCGAGTGCCTGTTTAAAAGGATCCAACATCTATACTCTTTCTATTGTAGCATCTTATTATTCGTATTTGATAGAGAAGAGAAACTAGGCTGAAAGGAACTCAGTACTTTCAAGTTACCACCGACAAAGCTGAGAGTAAAGCTTATACCTCTGGGATGCCATGGCTGTCCTCCTGCACCGCAACTGAGGTATAACCAATGTAAACCAGGGAAAGAAATAAATTTTTTTTTTTTTTTTTTTTTTTTTTTTTTTTTTTATCGGTACCGGGGATCGAACTCACGACTGCCTGCTTGCAAGGCAGGTGCTTATGCCGCCGAGCTAAATCCCCAGCCCCGGAAAGAAATAATTTAGAGTCACACAATAAAATAGAAGCAAATACTCAGGGTGACTCAAAATGAAAGCTATATAATGGAGATAAGGAATTCTTTTAAAATCTGGAAATGTGAGCAAATTCATTTGATTACCACATACAGAAAGGAAATTTACCTTCTTACTTCCCTCTTTCCCAAACTTCCTCCAACTCTCAACTCATCCTACCCATCCCAGTTGTGTTCTCCAATTGGATGGCCAATCAGGGAGTTTTGTTTTGTTTTTCTCCCCATGTGAATTTGCAAAGAACATGTCCCCTTGGAAAATAGAAATGGGAAAGAAAGTTGGCTTAGAAATGACAGCCTTGGTCCCCTAAGCTCTAGATGTTACCTCTGGCAACAAGATCTATCTACAGCACACTATATTGTGTAAGTAAACCTTTTGAAAAATAAAATCTAGAACTTTGAAGATAAGAACACTACTAATTTAAGCATGTGACACCTGTTTTTGGAGAAAGTAATTATTTAGCCCATAAAACCAAACCTGTTCTCACAAACTGTCAGCTGTAAACATATTTAAAGAACTGCTTATGTCAAAGATTTGTATAAGTAGCTTAAATGGGAACTCAGGAAAACCAAGAATGCAAAATGGTATTTTGCTAACAAATGGAATTTGCTGTCCGTCACAATTCTACAGATGATTCCACTGCAGGATTTCATTCTTCATGGCAGAATATGGAAATTTTGACACTGTAAACATATGAAACTTATAAATCTGGTATTCAGATTTCTTAAAAGGAATGATCAACCATAATATGTTCTTTTTGTTATTTGAAGGTTTTATCAACAGAAAACTTTTTACTGTTTTTAATAGTGTGTAGTAACTTCATGGCTCTTTAACTTGTTTCTAATATGATCTTTTCACTCCTCTAAGCAATAATGCTAAAAAAAATCATCTGTAAACCACAACAATGTTTGAAATGTGTAGTGTTTACTTATTCTTCTTGGTAAATCTATAGTATTCATGGTTTGCATACCCTTGATTATAAGATCTAGAAAAGTCACAATGGAAGATGAGAAACATCTTGGCTTACATTTTCTACGAAATGTTGTTCTGGTACAAATAGAATATTAAAATTCATCCTTATAGGTGGAAAAGTAAAAAGTGTTCTACAGCTGATTTAACTTCATTTTATACTAGAAAAATTCTTTACCAGTACATTTCACTATATGCATGTTAAAACAGATAAAGAACTATAGGAAAGCCAGGAAAAAGAGAAGCCAACAAATAGCAAACTACATGTAAAGAGCAAACACATCCTTAAAGGTACATGTTACCCAAAGCCTTGAGTGGAGGGAAAAAAATGAGAAATTATACAAAAGACTGCAGAGCAGATGCTTTTCATTTCTACAGGCTGTTAGGAAACACTGGGTTTTAATCATTTTTTGTAAATGGAGTAAAAAACTCTAAATGGTTCTACCACACTAAGACATTAATGTGAAGCATTAAAAATGGGCATTGAAAACCTATATAGCTAAACTTGTATTGGGAATTATTTATGCATTTAAGGTCATCTCAAAGGTTTCTGTTCTTCACTTTACCCTCTGTTCTTACCTCCTTGTTCATAAAGTAAGGTTTCTCCAAGTTCACTGCCTCTGACCCTGTTTTAGTAACTTCTTTGAAAATACTGTTGTTTCCATGACACTTCCCTATTCCTTATCTTCTCATAACTGAATTATCTTCTCATAACTGAATTTCTCTTCATTCCACTTTTGTTCTTGTTTTTACTGTAACTAAATGTTATCCTTAGACAAACACACTAGATTTCACCTTGAAAACAAGAGTTCCCATCAGATGCATAGCTAATATATACCTGATGGTTTGGAACAGTGACAACTCTAAGAGTGACACAAGCAAAGCCAATTGAGAAAGCAAAATGGTAAGCAAAGCCACATTGGCTTCTGCAGAGAAAAAATATGTTTCTCAAGTGAACTTACAAAAAAAATCATGTTCAAGCTTCTGAAAGTCCCTGAAAAGGAGAATAAAAACAACTCCAAGTAATGTCTAACTGATATAATATGATAGAGAGCCTAATTTTGAAACACATTTTGTTCTGAGCCCTATCAAAATATCAAACAAAAGCCATGATGTGACATTAATGCTTTGTCTGTGGATGGAAACAGCTATAGGTTGTTGCTCAGCCAATCTGTCAATGGCACAGGTGGTAATTTTACCATGCAGCTGGGAAAAGGAGTTTGTTACTCCCAAGAAACCAGGTATTTGGGAGGGTTTTTACATCAAATCACTTCTCACAGTGGCTTCTGACTATTACTAGACTTGGCAGATACACATACAATATACAACTGGTTGTTCTGCATCTTCATGAAGTTTGCTTATTTTTTTGATGCATATATAAGAGGAGACAAAAGACAAATATTGGTATTAATGTGTTATGAGAGTACTGGGGAAGAGAGGAAGAGGAACTGAAGAAAGCAAAACAAATGGCTTCCAAGTATGATTGCATTAATCTTGGAAAACGTGAGGCGGTAGATAGTGTGGTGTAATTGTTTCTCATTGGAGTTGTCTTGAAAAATCTTATTCTCACTAACTTTACTATTATAGATAAGCATCTTGTGATGGGTGACCTTTCCTTGTTAAGTTTCCTCTGGACACGTTACAAGGGTTTTTGATGACCAAAAAATATAATACCAGATGAAAGTCATTACATAAGTCAAATCAAATCAACAAAAGGAAAAACGAAGTTCCTTTATGAGTTCTGGCATATCAACAAATAGCTAATTGACTTTCAGTAATGTTTAAAACATATGTTAATTAGTAGAGAAATAAAAATTTTATATGCTATGCAAACAGTGATAATCCTGATACCATTTTGTTTGTGGCTTACCACAATAACATTTTATTTTTTAAGAACTGCTATATACTATTTATGGACAAAAAGCTACTACCCATGTCATCAACTTGCTACTGGTATGAAGTTAATTCAAAGCAAAATAATGGTCTTCTTTCAAAGTAAGAGTGTAGATGTAACAAATACATCTAAATTTGTCATGGTGAATTAAATCAACTTTAGCTTAAGGCAAAGAGCAGAATATTAGGCTGGAATGATTCATTTCTTTCTAATTTTTATACATTGAAAATCTGAAGTGCATTTTTAAACTTGATTAAATATTAAATTAGGTTTCACTTTTGCAGAGCTCTTTCCTTTAGCATTTCATTTAACAATAGCCAGGTTGGAGTGAAGCCAGTAATCAAACACTGCAGACTCTGGAAATTTTCTTGGTTTTCAGGCTTTTAATGGAGCCTGAAAAGAGTACCATTTTAGGGAATGGGTGTCTTTCTTTTTGTGATGACTCACATCATCCAGCACTCATTCATTTATTTTTAAGTCATTCCACAAATATGTGGGAGCACTTTTCTCGGAAAGGACCATAGGAAACGTGGAATTATGTGGCCTTTACACCCAGGAACTTCATAGACATCCATCCCACCTCACCCCACCCCTGGCCCAACATACATAAGCAGTCATTTTACTCTAGTTTAATGATCAGTAACCTCATAAATTAAACTTTCTTTCCCCTCTCCTTGAAATGAATTTCAAAAGTATATTTTCAGGGGAATATGAAATCAGCGTACTGACTCAAAGGCTCCTTTTAGGAGATTAAAAAAGAGATAATAATAAAGAAATCTTTGGGATTTAGGAAATAAAACAGTAAATTTGCTTGGCTTTTGTTGCAGATTAATGTATCTATTACATTAAGAGAAGAACATAAATTATGAAAGGCCAAGATAAAAGAGACTCTTTAGACAGGGTTTTAGAAAGTATTTATGCCCCTCAGCAATTAATAAAATTATTAGAAAAATCAATAAAAGTACCAAAAAATTCAACATCATTATCAACCAAAACAATTTAGTAGACAATTACAGAATATTTCATACAATAAGCACAGGTTTTTTTTTTTTTTGAGGTGGGACTTTGCTACGTAGTCCAGGCTGGTCTTGAACTCATCTTCGACTATAGCCTAGTCTGGCCTTGAATTTATGAATTTTGTTTTCTCTGTCCTGCCTCTCTTTTTTCTCATTAGTCTTTTGACAGTCTTTGAGATTTTCAGGTGAATGACACTCTTTTGCTTTCTCCTTCATTCTTTCTCTCCTGTCCTTTTCTCCAGTTTTCCTAAAGTTGGGTGATCATCCTTAGCCCTTCAGTTTTGATTCTACTCTATATCTCTTTAGCAGCTATCACTCTCTTTTGT